CACACACACACACACACACACACACACACACACATACACACACACACACTGAGCAAACTGCACCCCAGTATCTGAGCACAGCCTGCAGCCCCCCACTCACACGGGGCACGTGGGGGGCATGGGCACCCCCACGGGCAACCCCCACACACACACCCTGCCTGTAATCCCCCACATGCGCGCACACACGGAGCACGCAAGCAGCCTGCAACACCCCCACACGTACACACACGCGACACAGTCTGCAAATTTGTGTGCACAGACCCCGTGCAGCCTGCAAACCCATGGACCTGCACAAACAGCCCCCCACACACACACTAACACAGCCTGCAACACCCCCCCAGTGTGCAAACACACACGCACAGAGCAAAAACACGCAGCACACAGACACAGCCCTGCGTGCACACACATCCGCAGAGCCCGCAAACCCCGACACTCGCACACGCACGAAGCTTGAAAACAGGCTGCAAGCCCGCACATCGTGGGGGCACGCGCAGCTTGCAGCCCCACAAACTTATCACGCGTGTGTGCACACACACCCCGTGCAAACACAGCCTGCAGCCACCCGCAAACACACCTCTTGAGCAAACATAACCTGCACGCCTGCACAGAGCTCACACACAGCGCACACAGATACGGCGTGCACCCGCTCTGTCCTGCACACGCAGTGCCCCTGCATGGTGTCACCCATCTGCAGCACCCGCATGGATCACACAGACAGTGACAGGCTGCTGCTTGCAGCCCCTGCAGCCCCCAAACATCACCACAACCTGCCGCCAACCCTCTGCAGAGCACTCACATTGCGATAGACACGCGCGCACACGCAGCATCCCATATCTGGCTGCGCCACTCTGGCATCCCCAGGCAGGGGCTGTCATCCCCTCCCCCAGAGCAGGGGCACACGGTGGATAGTGGTGTGGTGGGTCCCCATCCCACCAACCCTCAGGCAGCACCCCTGGCTCCTGCTGCCACACCAAGGGCAGTGGTGAGGTGGAACATCCCTCTGGAATCCCTGTCTTGGTCCCTCCATAGGTCCTCAAGGCCAGCAGGGATGTGAGGAGGGGGCTGAGGGAAACAGGCACAGCACACCCTCTGCCTGCAGACCCCAGAAACTCCCTCTGTCCATCCTGGAAGGCATTTGGGGCTGGAGATGCAGAGGGTGTAAAGCGCAGCCCCAGGGACCGTCCCATTCCTTGCACCTGGGCAGTAGGGACCACGGGCATGCTGTCCCCAATGCTGTCCCTCTCTGCCCACACAGGTGGCCCAGGTCAGCAAGCCCGGACAGCAGTGGATGAGCGCTGGGCACTGGCCTAGCCACACGCACACATCGGCACCATGGACTTTGTCATGAAGCAAGCACTGGGCGGTGAGTGGGTGCTGTTGCCCCTCAGAGTCCCCTCTCCAGGAGTGGTACTGGCCTGACACCCTGGGACCACAGTGGGAGGGACATGGCAGGGGGACAGAGTCACACAGAGAGCCACCGGCAGTGGGAAGCTGCTGAAGCCCTCTGGGGTTTCTGTTCCCAGCACCGTCAGCAGCTGGCTGGGGAATCCTGGCTCTCCTGCCGCTAAGTGGGATTCCCCGGCAGGTCCCCTGGGTGCCGAAGGAGCTGCCGGCGTCTCCTCCGGCTGACGCTGAACTAGGGCAGCGCAGCCAGCCCATGGCACTCCCCATCCCCACAGCCTCCAGAGCCTGTCTGCAGCCCACTTTGGCATCAGTGGCCCTGGGGATGTCCCAGGTTGTCCTTGTCAGGGGCGCTCCTTGCCCTGCCTGCTGCTGCAGGGCTTCAGCAGCCAGCACTGAGCTGCAGCACCCTTGGGGACCAGCCAATGCTCTTGTGATGCCACAGGGGCCACCAAGGACATGGGAAAGATGCTGGGGGGCGAGGAGGAGAAGGACCCCGATGCGCAGAAGAAGGAGGAGGAGAGGCAGGAGGCTCTGCGCCAGCAGGAAGAGGAGCGGAAAGCCAAGCACGCCCGCATGGAAGCCGAACGGGAGAAAGTCCGGCAGCAGATCCGTGACAAGGTGAGCACATGCTTCTCCTGCACCCACCCCTGCTCCTGGCACCCGGGGTGGGGCTGGGACAGGGAGCTGGCATGGCTGGGAGGAGAGTGGCCCAAGGCAGTGGTGATGGGCATGGGCACAGTGCAGGCAGTGCCCTGTGCCTGCCCTGTTGAGGATCTGTGTCCTCTCAGTACGGGCTGAAGAAGAAGGAGGAGAAGGAAGCAGAGGAGAAAGCTGCCCTGGAGCAGCCGTGTGAGGGCAGCCTGACGCGCCCCAAGAAGGCGATCCCAGCAGGCTGCGGGGATGAGGAGGAAGAGGAGGAGGAGAGCATCCTGGACACCGTCCTCAAGTACCTGCCCGGCCCGCTGCAGGATATGTTCAAGAAGTAACAGCACTGTCAACCCTGCCATAGGGTGCTGGGGCATGGGCGCCCTCTCCCCTACAACCCCTCCATCAGCTCCCTTGGCCCCGGAGAGGGGGTCCCCACACCCCCTCCCATCCCCTCCTGTCCTGTCCCCTGACCAGACCAAAAGCCCGCCCCGTCCCGTCCAGGCAGGGCCCCCCCCCACCACGCCAAAGGGGAGCAGCCCTGGCCGGACAGGGCGAACCGGGACCAAATGCACTGATGTAACCTCGTGGCGGGCTGGGGGCACCCAGGCCCTACCGGCCTCCCCGGGGTGGCTCCTTGTGCCCCCTGCCCTGCTCCTGCCCTCCCAGGGGACCGCAGCAGGCCTCTGCTCGCCTGCCCTCGTTCCCAACACTGCCATCCCCCTGCCCCGTCCCGCCCCGGGCCAAGCCCAAAGCACAAAGCCAGGCGCCCTGCCCGCAGCTCCCCCATCCCCAGTCGTCGGGCACGGGGGTCCCCCGGGGCTGCCCGGTGTGCCCCTGCATCGGGGGGTTGGAGGGGACCCCCCTCCCCGCATCTCTGGCCCCATAGTTAAAGCCATATCAGTTAGACTGCAATACTTCAGCACCGGGAGGAGCGGGCGCCGCGCTCCGCCAACCGTGTACAAAGGCACGTGCGGGGCAGGGCCCCCCCTGCCCCGTCCCCCCCGCTCGCTCGTCTGTGTCTTGGCCCCGCTGGCCCCCGTCCTCGCATTAGTGTCTCTGTGCCAGGGTGCGCTCCGTCGCTCCATGCGTCCTCGTGTCCGCTGCTCAGACTCCCACCCCCGAGCCCCCACTGTCCCCGGGGGCCACCCGCGGCGCTGAGCCGAGATCCCCCCGCCGCGCTGCCGGGACCCCCACTCTGCCCCCTGCAATAAAGCCAGCGCGGGGCCGAGGGCTGCCGGGCCAGTCCAGGGCTGGGAGTGCCTGGCTGCCCCCCACCTGACGCTGGACACACGGGTCCCCGGGCCTGGGAAGGGATCCCTGGGCAAGCACCCTGGGATGTCCCAGGAGCTGCTGCTTGTACCCCAACGGGGGGAGGCAGGGGCACACCCTCATCCCAGCCCCTCCCTTGCCACACCGTGCTCCCCCCTCCCCCTGCTTCCTCAGCCACGGCCCCCAGCCACCCACCAGGGCCCTCCAGGGAGGTGGTGGGCAGCTCGGGGCCCCACAGACATGCTGTGACCATCCTGCTCGAACTAGTCTTTGACAAACTAATAAAATAAAGGGATTTGTACATTGCTCCAGCCTCTTCTCATCCATTGCTTCTCTGGGTCCCTATGTCAGCTCCCTTGCCCCATCAACCCCAGGGCTGACACCTGGCAGCTCATCACATATGGTAAGGCCACAGGGCCCACCCTGGGCAGCACCCAAGCCAGGCCACAGGTGTAGGGAGTGACCACAGGTGGCTCCCAGAGTCCTGCTCAGTCCTGCTGCTCCCCACTCTGCAGGTGTCCTCTCTGGGGATGGGGACAAGGCAAAAGGGACGGGTCCTGGTGGACCCATGTCCCACAGACATGGCATGGGGGCTTCTGCCCCTTCCCCCTGACTCTGGGACTTCCTTCACTGAATGACAGGGGATACCCTGGGGTACAAGGGCTCTTTCTGGTGGGTCACAGCCTTCTGTCCCCTAATAGAGGGGCCTGAGGCTATGGGCATGGGGCACCTCCTGTCCCTGCAGCGAGGCAAAGGCCCTGGCAGTGCCCAGGCTTGGCACAGCCCTGGAGGCCTCAGCCTGCAGCCAGCCTCAGCCATCATTTGCCATCATTTACCGCCAAAGAGCTCCACCGTTACCCAGGCACCATCAGCAGAGCAGTCACCTGGAAAAGCTTCTGTCAGACTAAAATATGAAGGTAGAAAACGGTAGAGATCTCGCAGGCAAGGTCTCCATCGCAGGCAGACTGTGCCCTGTGATGGCACAGAGGGGGAGAAATCCCCACAGCCCTCCCTGGGGAGAGGGGCAGGGGAGGCAGTGCCCGTCACCCCTGCAGGGGTGTGGGGAAGGGCTCTGCCCGGGGCTGGTGGCCGTGGCGCGGGACCAGCAGCGTGCTCCGCACATGCGGCGCTGCCGGGCAGGGCCCTGCAGGTGTCCCCCACATCCGCTGAGCAGTGTCCCCGCTGTCACCTGTCGCCAGTGTGGGGGCACAGCGCCCTCTGGTGTGGTGACAGCACAGGACAGGGAGAGCGGGGACAGGTAGTGGGGACAAGGCGGACAGTCCCTCGACAGACCCCTCAGCCAGGGCCTTGCCATGGCCAAGAGAAAGAGGCAGGGGAAGGGAGAGCAACTCAACAACCCACTTCTCCCCCCTGCAAGGAGCCACAGACACCTTCGTTAAGGAAGAGAATTTATCAAAATTAGAAAAAAACAAGTATTAAAAAAACTCAGCCCCAGCTGGGGAAACGTCTCCCAGCTTGCATCCCTTCACCATCTCCTCACTGCCCCAGCACAGGGAAGGGACATGGTATGTCTGGGAAGAAAAGGGGCAGGCTGTGCTCCCAGGGCTGCCCTCGCCACCAGGCTGTTGGGGACAAGGGGACAGTCACATAGCTTATCACTGCTGGGGAGACTGGTCAGGAAGGAGCTCCTCTCATGGAAGGCCCCTCAGCAGCCACCTCCAGCGACTGATTTTCTTTGGCCACTTGCCTTTGGAACAAGCTCCCCATGCTCCAGAGAGGAGGTGGCAGAGGGGGGGCACCCCCATCATCCCCATCACACAGCTGCCTATTTACAAATGCTCCCAAGAGCAGGATGCACTGAGCCGAGCCCGAGGTCGCAGCCCTGCCAGGCTGCCAAGGAGAGGAGCCAACTCCTTGCTCTACCTACACTAAGCTCCCACTCCCAAGAGTAGGCAGGTGTTGCCTCCCCAGGTGCAGCTTCATCAGGAGTCGTTGGGGAGCCCGAAGAGCTTGACGGTGCCAGCCTCCCGGCTGCTGTCGTATTTGCCATCTTTATCATCACAGGCGAAGGCCAGCAGTGGCCTCTTCGGGTGCCAGGCCACTGTGAAGGTAGGGGACTCACACTGCACCTCCCAGAGCTTCTCTCCTGCATGGAAAAGGGGCCATGTCAGCCTGGAAAGCCTCCACTGCTCACTGCCCAAATGCCAAGCACCTGCTTCTTCTCTCCGGCACAACTGCTGCTCCAGCGCCTTTTAATCACCCAGTGACAAGGCTCAGACATGGCAAGCATGTCTGCCACCGACTAACGAGGCAAAGGCTCCCCCTCATGGCGCTCTGCTCTGCACAGCAAAGCTCTTCCTTAGCAGACAGATTCTCCCAGTGCCCTCCCAGCTCCGCCAGCACTTCTCCATTTGATCCCTCCTTGCTGTTCCCCGAGAAGAAACCCCTACCTGTCTCCACCTCGGCAATGTCAATGAAGTGATCTTCTGATGCCGATGCCAGCATCTTCCCATCATGGCTAAAGCTCAGTGTCCGCACGGGCCAGTCAAGCCTGCAGCAACCAAGGGGAGCAGACAGTGAGCCAACCACACATGGTCCCCAGAGAGGGGGCAAACAGCTTTGGGACAGCTCTACCTACCTGGAGAAGCACCTCACACATACCAGCTCATCCACATCCCAAAGGCTGACTAAGGCATCAGCACTGCCCGTGGCAAAATACTTCCCCATGGGATCAAACTTGATGCAGATGCAGTTGGAAGGATGGGCATTGATGGACTGGATGGGTTTCAGCTCTGGGTAGCTGTGGAGGTGAAGGGAGAGGACAGGGAGCAGTGAGAGGAGCACAGGGATGTCTGAAGCAGGGCAGGCACAAGGCACACCAGGACTGGGAGCAAACTGAGCCAGGGTAGGAAACACCAAGTGTCCAGTGAATGAGGTGAAGCATCAGGGTCCCTCTTGGGGAGCCCAGCCCAGAACTGGGGCAACTTCAGCTCCATTCCTACCAGAGGGCTGGGGATCACTAAGGTGTGGGACTCCAGACCCCCAAAAGCAGCCAAGGCACTTGCAGCCTGACTGCAGCCAGCCCAGCCACTCGGCCCACCTGCAGCCACGGGCACCTACCTGAGGATGTTGATGCAGCCATTCCCGTTGGTGAGGAAGAACATGTTGTTGTCGTTGTTCCAGGAGATCTCGTTCACCTCAAACTTGAACTGTTCCTCAGCTTTGGAGCGATGTGTCTTGGCGTCAATGAAGGTGACCACATCATCCTTGTTCCCCACGGCAATGGTCTGTCCATCGGGGCTCCAGCAGATGTTGATGTTCTCACCTGAAGGGACAGAAAGGCAGCAGGTCCCATTTCCACTCCAAACCATTCCCAGATAGGAAAGACTGCCAGGCCTGCAGTGTAACACACAAACCCTGCATGGCAGCTGTCCAGCAAATACAGATAGTTACTGAAAAATAAAACTTATGAGAAGTACAGCTTCAAAACAGTAGGACCACACCCCATTTCAGCCAAGATGGGACCACAGCAATCACCACACAAGGTCAACCCAAAGATCCTCTAGATCCAGTGATCTTTGAGATTCAGAAAAAGCAGAAGCCAACAACAAATACCTTTAAATGAAGATAAAAACAAGGCAAGTTGCAGTTGTACCATCTTACAATGCCATTTCCAACCCCAACAACTCAAAATTTGATATTTCCAAGGGCAGACGTGGTATCTGGGTTAGGCAGCGCATGAACGCAAATAGTGGTTTTTCTGAATCCACACAAACTTTTACTTCCATCATGGCTCCCTGTAAACATGCTTTTCCCCCAGTCTCCAGCCTCACAGCCCACAGACTCCAGAAACAAGTACACAGAACATTTTAACGGCCAGCGCTGTATTTCAGGAGTTTCTCCAGTCCCTACTCCGCAGTAAATGAGCCCTTATATGATGAGTGCAACCCAAAGATAAAGCAGCCAGCAAAGGGTCCAAAGCTCTGTGCCGCTGTGGGTGGGTCCCACACAGCTGAGGTCCTGCAGGGACCCATCTGGGAAGGCAGGGGCTCACCTTTGGTGTTGACAGTGGCGATGCACTTGGTGGTGCGGACGTCCCAGATGCGGATGGTTTTGTCCCCGGACGCTGTGACAAAGAGGTCAGGGTTGCTGGGGTGCCAGCAGAGCTGATCCACACTGTCTCCGTGGCCCCGGTAGTTGTTCTCCTTCACCTGGGGGGAGAGGACAGCCGTCGGCGTGAGGATGCGCCTGGCTCTGCTCCCGCTCCTGCCCCACATCCCAGCACACTGTATCCCCGCCGCGATGGGGCGGGAACCCAGCCCGGAGCGCCACCGCCACCCTGGCCACCCTCCTGCCCACGGCCGGCCGGGATGGAGGAGGCCCCGCGCCTTCCCCGCCAGGCACCAGCTCTATTCCCGCTCCAGCTCCATTCCCGGTTCCCTGCCACCGGCCGGCGGGGTCTCCTGGCGATGCTCCTGTTCCGGCGCATACCGAGTACCCGGTACTGACCACCGGGACCCATCCCCCGGCTCGACACACCTGCCCAAGCACCCGGGCCCAGGGTGCCCAAGGGCTTCTGGTACCGACCCGCCCGGCACCGCCCGCCCGTTGCCGGCGGATCTCACCAGCCGGTCCTTCTCGAGCAGGAAGACGCTGGCGGTCTTGTCGAAGGAGCCGGAGGCGAGGCGGCGGCCGCAGCAGCTCCAGGCCACCGAGTGCACCTTGGCGCCGTGCGCGGGGAACTCGCGGCTCCGCGTGTTGGCGCGGAACAGCTCCTGCATGGCCTGCACGTACGGGGACACCGCCATGGCGGGGCCGGCACCGCGCCCCGCCCCGGCACGGCGCCCGACGGCACTTCCGCCACCACCCCGCGCCTGGCGCGTCTCCACGGGCGGGGCGGAGCCGCCGCCCGCCGCCGGGATGGACGACACCGTGGTGCTCCTCAGTGACTCGGACTCGGAGGGCGCCCGCTCGCCGCCGCCGGCCCGGCCGTGCCGCCCCCGCCGCTCCCTGCCCGCCCCCTCCGTGAGTCCGGGGCCGCCGCTGCCCCGCACAAAGATGGCGGCGCGTCCACCGCGGGCGGGGACGGGAGCCGCGCGCAGACAAGAAGCCTCGGGGGCAGTGGAGGGGTGGGTGAACAGCCCCGGCCGGGTGTTCCCGGGAACCCCCGAGACCTCCCAGCCTCTCCCCAGGCGGGCTCGGGTCCCCGCGGCGACCTGTGGCCGGCGGAGCCCCGGCCTTCAAGCGCGCCCCCCTAGCGGTTCCAGCCTCTTCGGCAACGTTCCCCCCACCCCAGAAAACGCCAGTCCCCACCATGGAGCGTCACATTCCCTCGCTGCACCCCGAGGAGGGTCCAGCCCTGTAGGGCTCAGCCCACGGCGGGATCTGGCTCAGGGATGCGGTGGGGCGGCTGCCGCCCCTCTCACCTGTCCTGCCCCTCTCCCCAGGGCCGCCTTCTCCCTGTACCGTCCCCCTCCCCTGTCCTGCTCCTCTACCCTGCCCTACCCCTCTACCCTGCCCTACCCCTCTCCCCTTTACCGCCAGAGGGTGCGGGGACGATGTCCCGGTACGGTGGCGGTTCAGGGCTCGAGGCTCAGGGAACGGCCCGTCCCACTCCCCGCGCCGCTGTCCCGGTTCCTGAGCTCCGCAGCCGCCGATGGTCACCGGGACCGGCTGGAGCCCCGCGGCCTCCCGCCCTCCCCAGCTCCTCCAGCGTCCAGGACCCCTCCTTGGGAAAGGCAGCAGGTCTGAGTCAGGGGGAAAAAAACGGACTTAAATTGTCCGGTAACCGTGTTCCCTGCTTTGAGACGCCGAGGGGGATTTTCTTCCCCAAGAGCAAACAGGCCCTGACCCCTCCTGGGCACACCGGGGTCTGGTGAAGTGCTGTGTCCTGCCTGCCGCCAGTGCAGACACAGCTGCCTTCCCCTGCCGGCTCCTGTTGCTCCTTGGAACACCAAGTGCTGCATCACCCAGCAAGTCCTGAGTGGGAGTCCCCCAAGTCTCAGGGTTGCTGTAGCTCTAGATTGATGCCAAAGAGGAAGAGGCAGCTCTGTTCCCTGCCGCTCCTGTCTTCATAGTGGGCGAGGTTGTGCCACAGACAGGGTGCCAGGGTTTGGATCCCGTGCTGCTCCTGCCAGTGGGAACAGGGTTACAGGAATGCTCATTGTGCTTGCCTTGCCCTCCCTCAGCACGTCAGCAGGACCTGCATTTCCCCATCATGGGACTGAGCTAAGCAAGCAGCCAGGACCACTCTGGCCCAAGGCAAGAGGCATTTGGAGGAGAGGGCATGGCTCTTTGCAAGAAGGAACCCTGGGGAAAGCAGGGAAGAAGAGCCTCAGTCAGGGTTGGGCTCAGGCTCAATGGTGCTGCCAGGGTGAGCTGATCCCAGAGCTCAGAGCCACCAGCCCCCACAGGCTACCCCATCCCCTCAGATGGGGTCTTTGCCCCTGGTTTCTCTCCCTGGGCTGGTACCAATGAGCCTCTTTTCTCTTTTGGACTGGGGCTACAGTGCCACCATAACAGAGGTTCCTGGCAGGAAGGACACTGACACTCCTTCTCTGTCCCCACAGGAGATCATCGATCTGACCTGTGAGGACACAAGCACAGACCCAGTGCAGCTGAGTGTGACTGAGGACATCTTCATCGCTGCGACTGAGGACGCCTGCATCCTTCTACACTGCACCTGCAGTGCTGACCAGGACCCCAGGACTGCACTTGCTGCCCCAGCAGCACACACATCCCATTCCCAGCTCTACTTCACCGTGAAGGAAGAAATGGAGGCAGTGGCAGAGCCAATCCCTGCACCATCCTGGCACAGCACTCCCCTGAAGCCCAGTGCCACCACGGACACAGCAGAAAGCATGGAGAACAGGAGCTGCCTCTCTCCTGCCTCCAGCTGCCACAGCTCCTGCAGCTCGGAGCAGGACTGCAGTGCTACCAGCTTTAATAGTGACCTGAGTTCCCTGCCCAGCATGCAGCAGGACTCAGCACCCCCCAGCCTGGACAGCAATAGCAGCTGGAAAGCTACTGGCCCAGAGGAAGAGCCTCCCCCCCTCTGCCAGGAAAGGGACCTCCCCCCAAGGCTGAGCCCTGCCCCAACCCTTCCCACAACCCCAGGGAAGGCCCGAGGGTCTTTGCTGGAAACAAATGACATACCACACGAACCAACCCAGCAAGCGACCCCAGCCAGGAGTGATGATGACAGCAAGGCCTGGCTGGACAAACTGCACAGTTTCAGGAGGAGTGGAGTCCAGCACCTCTTCTTCCAAGGCATAGCACCCAGCAGGGAAACACAGCAGGTAAACAGAGTTTAGAGCAGCCACTGCCAAGCCCAGCTAGAGGCTGCTCAGAGCAGCCCCTGTGGTGGAGGATGTAGCAAGGGCAGGCCCTGCTCCCTGTGCCCTTTGTGGGAAGCTTTGCCAGGCAGCTGGGGGCTCTGGTTATTGCAGTTCCCTTCACGGTGGGCTGCATATCACAGCTGGGTTCCTCTGTGTTGGGGGAGCTCCCTTTCACCTGTTACCTTGCCTTCTACACAGCAGAAACCTGAGCTCATCCCCAGAGGGAAGCTGAGCATGGTGCGCACCACTATGGAGGAGAACTTCCTGGAGGGCACCTTGCATCTCCTGAATGAGTTCGTCTCCTGCCAGCATTATCCCCCCAAAGATATCATCTCCCACCTCATCAGACAGGTCCTGTTGAATGCCCATGAAGAGGAGATCTTGAAGGACACCTACATGCTGCTGATGAAGATCCAAATGTAGGTGTTCCCCTTGTCCCCATGCCCCGGGGCTGAGTAGGTGCTCCCAGGGGTCTGCCCAGCATACAGGGGCTCACTCATAGGAGTGATTTCCCATATAACCCAGGATGATCCTCTTGCCACCACCAGCACTCCCCAGGCTTTCTGAGGGTGGGAGCCAGATGGTCAGGCAGTTCAGCACAAATGGACAGGGCTGTCCTTGCAGGCTCCATCCAGCCAACGCTGCCACAGTGGGATGGGACTGGACGCTGCTGAAAGTCATCATGGAGGACCAGGTACTTGGCACCGTGTGTGTCACATCGGGCAGGGATCATCCAGGACACAGTGCCTGAGGGTAAGCATTGCCCAAGGACCTCATGTGGCTGTGCTCTGCTGCAGAGAACAGGCCAGTCCAATGTGCAGGTTTATTGCAGCCACTGAGGGCAGCAAGTGCCAGTTGGGTATCTCATATTTATCCTCAGTGCTCCCTGACCCACTGCACAGCTGCAGGCAGGTTGTCCCATTGAAGAAGGTACAGCAACAGATAAAGACTCTGGGTCACAGCACTAGTGCAGTGGTAGAACAGGTCCTGCAATGCCCATAAGGGCATTGCCTGATCCAGGCAGCCCATCCTGGAGCTGCTCCTCAGTCGTGTACGTCAGTCCATTCCTAAGACAGCCAAATTCCCTGGTGCTCCTCACCCAGTGGCTCCCTCAGGCTCATACGCTCTCCATGTGCCCTCAGGAGAAGCCCCCTGGCCGGCTCCTCTTCCTGCAGTATGTGGTGCAGACCCTGGAGGACGACTTGCAGAAGAATCTGAGGTTGCACCTGCTGCAAAAGTCGATTGCCAAGAAAGTGCTTTCGTGTGACATGTGCTTCAACAATGTCAAGTAAGGGACACCTCCTTCTCCCTGTTCTCTAACCACAAACTGAGGCAGGGGCTCAGGGAACACTTGTCGAGACTCCAGGTCAGACTTTCAGACTTTACAAGAAGCAAACTTGGGAGACAGAGGGAAGTGTAGGGCCAAATATAAAGGACAGGAGATTTACAAAAGCAAACCACCAGAGAGGATGCAAGGCATTTGCAGCTGCAACCTAGCAGGCTTTTCCCAGGAATGAGGTCAGATTTGCATTGCTCAGGACAGGATTAAGGAGGCTGCAGTCCTGTGGACAAATGTACAAATCAAGAGAGCTTTTCTGTTGAGCTGCTCTACAGAGCTACTCTAAGTGAGTGGGACATACGCTTCATTGTCAGGATCTTTCCTCAAGCTCCGAGTGGATCCAGAGGTCAGAACACAGCAAAATCAGGCCCATCCCCACTAAAGTTCCTGTTTCTGTCCTAGGGAAGTGGTCAAATGGTTGGTCGCAGCTATTACAGGAGTCGGGTTCTGCCAGCCCCAGGAGAAGCCACAAGAAACTCCCTCCTCTTCAGCAGAAGCCAGGGCTGAACACAGCTCATCTGCACCAAGTCTAGCCAGCACACAGGCTCCAGCAACTTTCTTTGCCCAAAAGTAAGCCCCAGAAGTGCTAACTCCCTACTGGTATTATCATGGCCCCAAGTCAAGGAGAAGCCAGAGCCTCTCACTCCCTGTCAGGTCAGGGAAGCCAGGCTGTACCTGTGACCAGCTTTGCTGGTTCTCCTTCGGGTTAGACATAGACTTGGTGAGCAAAAGACTGTCACCTGATAGGAGACTGGCTCAGTAAGTATCATCCTCTTGCATGTAGTGTAAGGCTGGAGCTCTTGAGCTACAGCTCAGGCTACCCCGTGCTGCTCCACCAACACTCAGTACAGCCCAAGACCTCCCAAGGATCAATCTGGGGATTAGCTCTGCTTGCAAGAGCATCAGACTCAAAAGCCACCAAGAGACACCAAATCTAGCCCACTGCATTCCTGTGTCCCTCACTGCACAGCACAAGGCTGAACTAGGGACCATCCCCAATGCTTTACTTGGCAAGCCAAGGAGCAGCTTCTCCAAGTGCTGACTGTCTCTCTGACACAGGGTGATGCTCCTGCTCCAGCGGATGTTGTCCATCGCAGTGGAAGTGGACAGATCTCCCACCTGCAGCTCCCATAAGATTGCAGATGAGATATTCCCATTTATACTGAATATCCCCCTGAGGAGCCAAAGGTGAGACAAGCACATGCAAGGCAGCATTTGCCTGTGTGAGCAATGGTCTTATTCCCAATTTACATGAGTCTGGATGCACAAAGTACTACAGGGTACAGAAAGACAGGCCAGCCAGCAAGAGCATGGCTATATCTCCCATGGAAATACAATATTGCTAGCTGAACACATCTACCTCGGTGGTATGTTGCTGAAAACAGTCAATTTTCTCACGTATTAAAGTTGTGTGACCTTAAAAATGTAAAGAGGGTCTGAAAAGCAGCACTGTGCATCAGCACAGTCAAGTACTGGCAAACACGTCACTGATTCTCCTGGGCAACCAGGTAGCTTGTCAGAAATATGATGCAGTTCCTACAGCTTTGCCTTGACATCCTTTTGTTTGCTTCTCTAAGAAATGCAGTATCTGAAGCCAGAGCACAAGGGCCTGACTGGTTCTGGTGTAAACACAAGACCACTGGATCCACAGGCATTTCAAACCCACTCTTGCAATGCCCAGCAGGCAGCCCTTCACACCCCTTCAGCAGAACTCTGTGCACACACCAGGTCTAATCAAGCCAAACTGAGTCTAACCAAGCTGTCACTTTGCCCAGGACAGATGTAGATCCGGCTGGCCCTGACCCCACATCACCCTTCCTTGGCTGTGCTCCCTGCAAGTCAGCAGGAATGGATCACTGCCACACAGGCTGCTGGGCAGGGTGAAGTGAAGCAGCTCAGTTTGCATCACAGACTGTACTGACCTCCAGCTGCCACAGGTCACACCTGAGGACAAAAACACAGCCATGGCCAAGTCACATAACAAAGGTCTCTCACCACATCTGGTGGTCTTCCTTCCAAGGCACAGCTGGGCAGCCCCTGCAGTCACCCCACTGGGTCAGCACCAGCAGCACACCAGGAACATGCTGGAGCAGTTGTCTCTGGTCAAGCTGTGCTGTCTCTCCCAAAGTAAATCCCTTTTGTCTTCCAGGGAAGCTTTATTAAACACCATGGAGAGCCAGCTCCTGCGCTGCAGACTGATAGAGCTGCTGTTCCAGCACAGTTCTGATGTGCCCTCAACCTCATCTATGTCTCTGGAGAAAATCCTGTATTTCCTGAGCCACTTCTCTGTGCTGCTGCATTTTGAGGTATCCAGTCCAACTTCTCCTTTGCCTTGTTTTCTTCTGAGAAAACTTCTAATAATCAAATGCTGTCTCCTGTCATAGGATGAAACAGCAGCGTGGCAAAGGTGGGATGAGATGCTGCAGTACTTGAGTTTGCTGCTGATGAGTTACCAAAGTGTAATACACGGTAAGCAGCTTGTTCTGGCCTCATCAAGAGGCTGCAGTAGAACTGCCAAATTCCCTTCCTCCTCCCTTCTCATCGCTCTTGAGCTCACAGCCACTGAGTCTTTGAAAGACAATGTGCCTCTGTCCATGCTAGTAACTATTCCCAGCAGTCAAAGAAGTGATGTTGCATCAATCAGAGCACCCAACTTACTTTGCCAAGTTTAGCCCCTACAAAATAGCCCTCTTCCTAAAGGAAGGAAGCACTTCCCAGCACCAGAAAGCACACAGGGGGGTGCTTTGTACCCACTGTTGTCTAAGTTGCTACACAGTGGGTGGAAGAATAGGGTGGTTTGGGAGAAAAAGCAGAAAGCAAAGGGACTGTAGAATATCCTGAGTTGGAAGGGACCCACAAGGATCATTGAGTCCAACTCCTGGCCCTGCACAGGACCCCCCCAATAATCCCACCCTGTCCCTGAGAGCATTGTCCAAACATTCCTTGAGCTCTGTCAGCCCTGGGGCCCTGACCACTACCCTGGGGAGCCCGTTCCAGTGCCTGACCACTCTTCGGGAGAATCTTTTCCTAATAACCAACCAGCCCTCCTGACACAGCTCCAGCCATTCCCACAGGTCCTGTCACTGGTCACAGAGAGCACAGATCAGTACCTTCCCCTCCTCTTCCCCTCACAAGGAAGTTGTAGACTGCAATGAGGTCTCCCTTCAATCTTCCCTTCTCCAGGCTGAACAAGCCAAGTGCCCTCAGTCACTCCTTGTGTGGCTTCCCCTATAAGCCCTTCACCATCCTCACAGCCTCCTTTGGACGCTCTCTTTGGTAAACCCAGGACACTTTCAGCACTTAGTAAACTGGGCAGGGAGCACCACCCACAGTAGCCATGGAAAGAACAGCATTTCTGATCCCAGGAGAATGGCAGTCACAAAACACTCCCTAAAACTCCCCAAAGTAATTTTACCAGAAAATTCTTCAAGTCCCTTCCCAACTTCAGCTGCTTTAGCCCAGGGTTAAGGCTCTCATGAAAGAATGCAGAGGAATCCACCATCACATGTGCAGTTTTACTCTCCCTGAAGCCCTAGACAATGTTACTGTTGTTGAGCTCTTTGGAGACTCCTTTGCAGCTGCCCATTCTGCCACTCACACAGGAGAAAAGGATTCTACAAGCCTTGCCCCTTCCCCATTTCTTGGGCTCTCTCCACATGCAGACTGAGCTCCAGGAGGGGCCAGTTCCTTCTTCCCTCAGTCTTGTGCAGAAGCATCAGGGATAACCGCAAGAGGATGAGCCCCATTCCCAACTGCTTCTCACTCTGGCACAGCGCTGCCTCTGGCATGCTGTGCTCTGTTGTGTGCTGCCTCTCTCCACCAGCATTTCCTCTTGCAGAGCACCTGCGGAGCTCCCTCAGTGACCGGATGGACTTGATGGTTCAGAAAGCCAAGCCCAGGCTCCAGGAGAGTGACAGCATCACCAACCTGGACGTTCAGGTGAAGATTGAGGACTTCATCAGCCGAATGCAGGGGGTCCTAGGGCAGCCTTTTCCTCCACAAATCCAGGAGAAATTGTTCCTGCTGCAAGAGTTGCTCTCTGTTGTCACTACTGCCTGATGGAGACAACTACTGCAGCAAGGGGGACAAAGAATTTCAAGTTCCAAAAAAACCAACCAAACAAAAAAAAAAAACTCAAAACCCCCATCTCATGCTGCAGTCTCAATGTCATGGGGGTTGGTTTATACAGTTCTTTAGAAAAATAGCTGGTTTACATGGTCTCAGAATTTCTGTTCAAATTTGCATCGTTTATCAGGCACATTGTACACTTTAAAAAAATAAATTATTTTTATATTTGCTGAGACTCTTTCATCTTGGTGCCAGCCCTGCCTAAAGGAAGTGCAGACCTCCATCAGTCATACCTTGGGATAGCATTAGACTAATGCAGCCATAAACTCTGACAGTAGTTTGCACAGTAAGCAAAATGCCCAAATATCTGGTCAATTATTAGGGGAAAGATGATAATCTTTAAAAAAACTGAACAGGTGTGAGGGGCAGTGAGGACATTCATAGTGCAGAGATCCCAAAGAAATGGTAGTCAGTTCTCAGTAGAGGAACATTTCTGCTCCAGTGCAAATCAATCTATATTACTTGGCCAAAAGTGATTAGGAAGAGGGTGGGCTGGATGGCAGCATGAGCTGAAAAAACTGCTCCCTCCAGAACCACTCTAGTGCAGGCATGGGCATTATGATCAGAATGAATATTGAATTCAATTGAATTCAAATCCACAGCCATCAACAAAAACCACAGGTGAGGTCAGAGAACAATTAGGTGTTTCTACAGATCTCAGTTCAGAAGCAACAGAGGTTGGGAGTGGGAGCTGCCCACCACACTTGGCAGGGTCCTAATGCAGAGACCAGAGTAGGAGCATCAAGTAGTCACAGCTGGGAACACACTAGTCCTGATATCAGTGGTCTCATGCAGAAGCCTGGCTTCAGTTAGTGCAGAACTGTTCACAAGGGTCTGACCCGGGGTTCACAGGTTTGCTTCTTGTTCTTTAGGAAGCCTCTTGCCAACTGCCAGGTGTAAAACAAACCAGTCATTCACATGACACTGCCCCCCTAATCCAGAGGTAAGCCATTCAGTGAAAAGTGAAGACTGCCAACAGTGCAAACCCAAGTGCTCCATGCTCTGGAAAGCTGCTCTTCCTGCACATATGCTCATTCAGGTGTATTTTTCAATTAGGTCCTTTTAACTGGATTAGACTTTTGTCACTAGACTAGAAAAGAAACTGCATTCCAGCAAGTCCATAGTTATGGATGTTATTTTATATTTGTGATGGTCGCATCCCTAAGAAGGATGGAGTAGAGTATTACACCACAAGGCCGTGCTTTAACCCCAGCCTTCCCAAACTAACTGAGATTGGCCTGTGTAACCAGGACCACAGCAGCAGACTCTACCTCAGTACCTGGTTGCTCCAGGATCTATTCCATCACTTTGCCAACACCCCAGGAGCACAGGGAACACCAGTGTTCAGCTCAGACATCCCCAGCCCAGGAGAGCCATGTGCTCCACCAGCAGTGCTTTGAGGGGCAGCTACAAATGCTACAACAGCACCCAAACCCCAGCCTTCCAGAGGAAGGCAAAGCAGGGATGGACACACTGGGAGCTGGGCACCTCTAGGGCACCTCCCCAGTGTAGGTGCAAACACAGCACACAGGTAACAAGAGACAATCTCAGGAACAAGAAGAATCTGAATAGCCCAAGAAAACACAAAGACTTCATGTTCAGTTTCCCCTGCCTTAGGACAGAACTGAGTATGGCTTTAAACCTGATCTCCCTGTCAAAGGGGAGTTTGTGAACAAACATTTACCCTAGTGAGGTGTTGTCAGCCTTATTTGGCAGAACCTTGACCCCACATTTCTCCCACAGATGCTCTGCCAGCACCAACACACATCATGGATCTCCATTCACAAGGATTTTATTTTCCTGTAACAAACAAAACAAACATACACATTAGGAGGCATGAATACAGACAACAAATAAATTAGTGTCAGATGAGAGCTTGATTGCCAAGGTGCAAATAAGTGGTGACAGTGAGAACTGCTGGGTTAGGTTGGGGACTTTCACACAACACATCACTGGCAGTGCTGCTGAAGCTTGAGAGAAAGCAGTGGCACAAAATGTGCTTCTTCAGAAGGGTCAGCAGCCAGCCCTGCCTCACTCTCTGGGAGGAATGTTTGGTTTAAGAAGGCAAAAACCCCAGAGCTCAACAGTTACCAGCTGTTAAGAAACCTCTGTGTAATGTCCTGGCAACAGAGATGCTTCCAGTTCCAGATGCAAGGCTGCTGCTGGCTGAGGGACTCTGCAACACAATCGTGAGATCAAGAGGAGACCTGAGGTGACCCATTTGCCACAGGACAGGTGAGGATTACAGAGCAATGCTGCCTATCATGCTTAAGGGATTAGATGGTAACCAGGAGCTCCTTCCACTTTCCATGAAAGCAAGTGTTAGCTGTTCCCAGTAACTGGCTCTGCCCAGACCAAGAATTACATCCAGCTGTACCATAACAGGGAGGAATGTTTAGCCTTAATCTGCCCTCAGTCCTCCCTCAGCCCTGCAGAACACATTAATGCTGACAAAATACTCTATCTGAGAAGTGCTCCTGCTGTCTAATACACTTCTACATGATTCTAGGAAGGAAAAAAAAAAAAAAAACAGAATCAAAACAAATCAAGCTGCACCCAGATTGCCAGAACACCTGGAAGTCTGCTATCTAAAAGGCAGGAGAGTGTTGTTTTGCAGAAAGAAGAGAGGAGGATTACTTGATTCAAGCCACACCAGCTTTGGTCATTTCCACCTTTTTAGAGGAACAAAGAGTTGGAAGAGAAGGATTTCTTCCTCACTACTGCTCCCTGCCTTTCCAATAAGAGCATCTTAGAATTGTCATTGGTCCACTTTCCCTTTAAAAAAAACATACCAAGAACAGAGAAGAAATAGGTGTTGAACTACATGGTCACAGTGGATAGTAAGGGAATGCCACACTTAAACTGACCCATCACATTCCCCAACTTCCTTCTGGCAGTTAACGGTCCAGTTTTCAGTCCTTGCTTGTTTCCATGATTTCCTGCTGGAGCTCTGTATATGCCAGACAGAAACATCATCTTCCTGTGGGTCCTTCAGCACTGAGCAGGACAAAACAACCAGACTACAGGCAGGCAAGCCAGGTGCTCACACACCACGTGGACTACTGCCCCAAAAACATGGCTCAGGGTTTCACTGTGGTGTGGTGCACTGGGAAGCACATCCAGAGCAGCCTGACAGCCCAGATCAGTGCAGTGCAGCAGACAGGATGGTTTACATTGGTTTAGGACTAGTGCAGGAGTTTTTTCCAAGACTGGCTTTAGGAGAATAGTCACAACTGTTTCCTTTTCTGAGATGAAGAGCTGGAAGGGAGACTTTCCTATTTTACTGCAGCACATGGGACAGGGAAGCAGAGCCTAAGACACCCTGTATCCTGCTAAAAACATCAGAAGATTTTCTCTAGAACCCAGTGGGAGTGAGCACATTCAGATCCCGAGGTTTGATATTGTGGGAACGTGGAGATTGTTTCCTCCCATCTGTGCCTGGAATGTCCATTTTGGGTGGCTTGAAGGTGACTGGATCCTCTGGCGTCCTGGTAGCCTGAGCACGCATCAGCTCCATTGGGGATGGCTTCTGGGCACCCTTATAGGACTGAATAGTAAATCCTCCTGGTGAAAAAAAAAAAAAAAATCACAGTAAGAGCCAGGAAAACCAGTCAAGTCCTTTTCCTACTGCTGCCAGGAGTGAGCAGCAGCACTGACACCCCACACCACAGGGAGCTGGAAAATTCCAGCAGCTCCATGTCATCTAAAGCCTATTCCACATCAGTGGCTGGCACTTCCAGTCCTGGTTGCATCACACATCAGAGAAAAAGTAAAATACTGTCACCTTCACACCCTGCCCTTTCACTGCAGCACAGCACAAGTTATTCCTAATTCCAGATCCTCGGCACAGGTTTTACCCAACTGCTTTATATTTAGGCATAGAAATTATATGAATAGCAAACATTCCCAAGGTGGTCACAAAAAGTAATATGGCAAGCAGGATAAGACTCTAGAAAAAGCTAGCAAGTTGGCTGTGTGATGGTTCTCCTTTAGCTCTTCCAAGGCAGCTGATTTTTGAGGACATACCTGGATCAGTGGTGGATTTCTGGATGGCTTTGGGTCCAAAAAAGCTCCATTTTTCAGATGGCAATTTGTCCCCACCAGCTTCCATGGCAAAGTCTGAGCCAGCGATAGAAGAAGAGGATCCCTGACTAAACCAACTCCTAACAAAAAAAAAAAAAAAAAAAAATCATTGAGATGTATAAGACTTGAGAATAAATACTTCAAGTGACCTCACTGTACCAGGAACTTCCCATGCAGTTAACAGGGGTAATTTAATGCATGCTCAAGTTCCACAGTCTTCCAACATTTGGATCTATCCAACACATATCCTCATCAGGCTCTGAATTTCAGCCCACACAGTCCCCCTCTCGATAAGGTTATTTAGCAGCTCCCACCTCAGCAGCCTGTAGGAAACCAAAGGCAGCAGTGGCCTGCCAGGCTCAGAGTACCTGTTTTTATGCTTGGGAGAGGAGTGGGGGCTGGTGGTTGGAGTGGACTGAGCAGAAGAATTGTGTTTGTCATCTTTTGTCGTCTCTCCACTCTGCATTTTTAGCTTCTGTTAGGAAGAGAAACACAGAAGCAACAGGGCTTAAAAACAAGACATAAGGAACAACACCCAAAACCAGACAATTGTTTCATCACAAGTGAA